TGAGGGTCACACTGCACTGAATGGATAATTATTGCTGTTTGATTCTAAAGGAGATTTGTTTATTTGAGCCAGCTGATCACATAAATGCTGCAGAACTCCATTTCTGGCCATGTCCAAACCAAGGCAGATGTTGCCTGGGAAGGCTGAGCTGGGACAGAGACCAGACACAGCAAAAGGAATAAAATCAGGATTTATTGAAAGGATTCACCTTGGGCAGTGCAAGAGCCTGGCTGGGGCTACACCCAAATTAAATCTCAGATGGATCCTGGGCACGAGTTTTACACTTTTATAAGTTTTGGTTCATCTACACACTGGGGTCAATGATCCACCCACAGCCCCAGGCTATGGGGTCTCAGCCCCCTGCCTTGCCCCCTTTCCCTCGCTGTTGTTTCTGATTTTTGGGTCCCAGTTGTCCTTGATTCTCCAGCTGGGAAGGAATCGTTTTGTCACTACCCTGTGAAGAGAACTCACTAACATCTAATATGAAATGTCAGAGTTACACACTAAGCAGCAGAGATTGTGAAAGATATAAAAGCTAAAACCCATAGAGAACCATGTCAAACTGACAGGACCATGGCAGGGTTTATAAACCAGAGATGGGACTATGGCAGGGTTTATAAACTGGATTAGCCAGAAATGGGACTATGGCAGGGTTTATAAACTGGATTAGCCAGAAATGGGACTATGGCAGGGTTTATAAACCAGAAATGGGACTATGGCAGGGTTTATAAACTGGATATAGGTCAAACCAAAGCACCCTTTCTGGTTTTGAATGCCCTGAAATTACAAAAGGTCTCACAGAACTGATGCTGAACGACTGCAAATCCAATTGAACTTGACAGAGATGGAGGACACTTCAACAGCACAGAGCATAAGACCAAAAATACCAGTAGACCTTGGGAAAGTTGTGGTTTATATGTTTTTCTAGTAAGAAAGTGTGACACTTCTTACTGATTTATAAAGTGCTTGTTTCTATGACAAGTGTTTGTCCACAGAGCTATTTTTTATATATATATATCTTCCAAAACTATAGTTTTGTGAATATCAGGTGAATGTTAGGTATTCACCTGAGTCTGGAAGGTACACAAGACTTAAGAAAAGGTGTAAAATACAAATTGGGTGAATCCATTTGTTTACTATATAAAAAAACCCGTGTTACTGTTATGGTGTACAAACTGGAAATAAATAAACACCACTATGTGCATTTCTGTCTGACATGAGCAACACCACAGCCACAAATCCAAGCTCTGTACAGATATTTTACAAGAAAAGAAGAGAGATATGACATCCATAGAAAAGCTCATGGGTTTAATTCCCTTCCTTAGAAGAAATTTGAGGGTGTCTGTCTTCACTCCTAAACTCTGATGATACTTCAGCTTTACTGAAGTCATGTCCCTGCTCATAAACAAATAATTTGAGCCAGAAGCTCATGAGGCCATAATGTCCTCATGGTACCTATTCAGAAAAACTTGGAATAACAGCACAGGGAATGGGATGAGTCATTTTGAAGTGTTAAAAGAGGGACTTTTCCAGAACAACCTCAAACATGAGATTTTCTGATGAAATAAAACACTTTCTTATGGCCTGTAAGAGCACACAGGATGCACGTGAGTTTTGTTCAGCACATCTCACAGTTGATGTTTTTAATTACTGCACATGATCTTTCTTTGGCCAACCCTGAGTCAATAAACACCTTCTGCTACCAGGCTGCCCCTAAATCAGGAGCTGTTTTCTGAAAATTCAGGGGTTCTTTGGGCAAAAAGAGCAATTATTGGATTTTCTACTACTGCAGGGGCACAGAGGCAGAGCTAAGGTTCCTGTGCCAATAACTTGGGCACTTCCACACATCCCAGTGGGTTGGTCTGTTTGTTTTCCCAAATGGGGGGTGGGAGAGGATTTGTTTTCTCTTTTTTAAAATTTTTTTTAAAGACCCAGACTTTTCCAGAAAATAAATTTAATTGCTTGTACCAAGAAATCTGAGCTTTGCACACACAGCAAAATACTGAGGCTTTTTTGGATTCAATACATTGATCCCTGTGCACACACAGTTCAGTTTTACTTTATGTTTCCACTCAGGCTTTTTTACATAACTGGAAAGAGATCACAGTTCCTGAAGAACCCACACAATTCAAGACAAAAAAAAGCAGGATAGAACCACGTGAATGAGGACCACATTTTACATTATTTAAAAAGTAAGAGCAAATCACTTAACTCTTTTAAAAAGCAAGCACTTTGATAGGTGCCAAACACTTCCAGTTCCTGACACTGGCACTTGAAGGTAAATAAAAAAAAAAAATTTGGGAAAACCAAAAAAGGCAAAAATAAAAGACTCAAAAAGAATAATATTGGATTTGCTGGGCAAGGAACTAAACAGAAAGATCTGAAACCAACCTGCAAGCCTAGAGTGATGTTCCTGAGGGCTGAAACTATTCCATAATCCTTTATCAAACAGAAATGCTGGCTGGAACACACCTCCAGATCTTCCCAATTTCCACCGTGTCCAAGACAGAGCAGCAGCTCCTCGGCACAGGAGTTTCCACTCCCCAAATTCCTCCTGCCTCTCACCTTCTCCATCCCACTCTTTATCCTCTCCAGCATCTCAGTAAAACTTTTCTCACCTGTGCATGCTCAGTCATTCCCTGGGGAGGAGCAATCTTCCAAAAAAAAAAACAAAACAACTTTTCTCACCTGTGCACGCTCAGTCATTCCCTGGGGAGGAACAATCTTCCAAAAAAAACCAAAACTTTTCTCACCTGTGCATGCTCAGTCATTCCTGGGGAGGAGCAATCTTCCGAGGATGAAGAGAAAGATCAACAAGCAGCTCCTCCCCAAATAGCCAGCCTCTCCTTTCAAAAAAAAACAAAAAAAAAAACCCCAAAAAATCTCACCTGCAGATTAACAAACTCACTCAACAGTTCTGCAAACAACAGAAGAAAGGAAGAACTCCAGGGAAGAAAGCAAAGAGCAATATTTTTCGGACTTTTCATTAATTTTGAGGGATAAAAACCCCCAAGCCTGGAGAAGGCATGAGAAAATCTCCTGCAGGAAAAATCTGATGAGGTTTTGCAGCATCCAAGGAGTTCATTTGAGCTCAAGGAGTGCAGTGTATGCCCACAGTTACACAAGAGCCATTAATACCTGGATGCCCTTAAAAAATACAAGTTTCAGACAGGAGATTTCCATCCAATATTATCCAACATGGTATAAAACATGGCAGTGGTATAAAGGTTAAAGCACAGATTTGACAATCCAGCATCTGCTGAAGCCCCACCTGCAATTATACAATGTCAAGATCTCTTAAATAATGAACAGAATGACCTCTCCAATCCATATTCCTGATCTTGGTGAACCCCTGAGAGCAAACAAGGAATTGCATGATCTGGAGTCCCCTCTTGCAGATTTGGCTTCTGAAGTTTTAATTTGACCTTGAAATGAGCTCTGTCATAAAAAGCCAGCACTTTTGGAAAACATATTTTGCAATGAAGAGAGTTTAGGCTGCAGCCCCAGACTAAAACAATGTGGAAACATTAAATCCTTATCGTGGCATGAGATTAAGGACTGAAGTGTTGGTACAACTAAAAGCAAGATATAAAAATGGCCCTTACTTCCCCAATATATCTCCTTATGTCTGTTTGCTGTCCTAACTAATATTTTTTTTTTTCCTGCAGTATTTTTCACCCTCCAGAGCAGGGACAGGCAGGCTGGATTCAGGCATGCATCAGTGCCAAGCCAACCAAGCTCTAAATGTTGGATCTTCTGCAGACTGAAGCACAAGTAACAGCTTTGTTTCTCCAGTCTGAGGCTGACTTTGCAGTTCTGGAAGTCAATAAAAAAATGCTTGACTTGTTAACTGAGCAGATTTGGTCTGGATGTCACTGAGAAAAAAAAAAATAAAAAAAATAAATGTAGTGCTCTCAGCATGTCAGCTTGACAGGGTCACTTTGCTTTTCTGACCACAATTCTGCTTTCAAACGAACCTTTCAGCAGCTGCTCACTTCCAGTCATCAATCCTACTGCTGCTGAAAAGCAATTGCAAAAACACCCATTGACTTCAGCAGGAACAGGATGAGGCTCTTATCTTATAAATGATAGTCTTATGACACACAAAGTGAACATAAAAAAATCTCACTATGATTTAGACAGGCAGAAAATATCCCCATTGACCCAGCTCGGATCACTAGAGACCTACATCCATTTGTTTTCACTTCAACAAACAGAAGGGTTTATGGTTTTTATTTATTTATTTTTTTTAAATACATCAAGCCAAGGATATGATAGAAAACAAAACCTACTCTATCTGTGATGGAACCTGCAGATCAGTTTGGTAATAAAGTGGAAAATCTCTGATTCTTAACCCTATTTAGAAGGTAAGCACAGCCCCCTGACTGAGGCTGCATTTTATAAATTGTGATAGATCCACACCCAAAACACTCTTGCCTTACCAAACTCGAGATTTTTACACTGCAAATATCCGAGCCCTTTAAATGGAGCAGCCACATTGCAATGCAAATCATCAAGTTGCAGGACCATTCAAATTCTCCTATTTCATTGCCCTCTGGGCAACAATTGATTCTGAGACACCAGCAGGCCTCCAAAGGGAGAGAACAGAACAAAAAGACAAGCCAAGACATCATCCAGCCATAGGAGAGTTTCAAATCCAAAATTCATTGCCTTCACTGCAGCATTTTTACCACCAAGAGTTGTCCCCAGCAGAAGATGCTGGAATGGATGGTTTTTTTTCCCCTGCTGGGTCTGTCTGCTCTTTCAAAGCCATTGGTTCCTGGATTTCAGTGCATCTTTTCCAAATTGTTCAGCTCTATTGCAAACAGAGATTCTCCCCACCCAGCACGCTGAGCTGTCATCGCTGTATCAGTGCGTTCTGAGCAGTTACACTTTTCTATGCACTAATTAAAGCTGCATATAGAACCTCAGCTAATTAAAACTGCAGTGAGCTAACTCTGAAATAAACTGTCTGCAACTGGGTATTTACATGCAAATACCTGCTGGTGAACGTGTGTTTCTGTTCTTCTTTTCCCTCCTGCTTCTTTCAGCAGCTGAGAACAGCTGTGGGCACACAAGGCATCTAAAACAATTCAAGATTCAGATGTTAAACCCTCAGGTAATTTTCCCTCGAAGTCATAATCCCCATTAGTGCCTCTACAATATGCTCTGTAGTGTTTTATACCTGGGGTTTGTTTCTGTTCCTGAATTCCAGAATCCTAAAGCTACCTTGGATTTTTATTCTTTTTTTTTTTTTTACTACCATTACCCTCACTGTGTGCATGAAAATAAAATCATTTAGAAATTTCTCATAAGAGCCTATCTGCAGGAACTTCTCCCAGCCAAAGAAAGTCCAAAGAATGTCAGTAATAAATTTACACATTGCCCTCAAGAAAAACAACAACAACAAACAAACAAACAAACAAAACCCCAAAAAACAACAACAACAAAAAAAAAAACTAAACAAAACCAACTAAATACAACCCAAACCCAAAAGCTTTCTGTGAATATGTTGCATTTTTCTCTTTTTGTTTATAAACCAGAAAGCTGCAAGATCTCCTATGCTGTAAATAGGTCCTTGCCAGATATACTTTTAGTGGTAGAATCAAGAGAAATTTGAGTTACACCAACTCCTACTAGATTTGAGACCAAGAAAAATATTCCATGCCTTTTGTTTTATTTCTAATGGCAATACCTCTGAGTAATTCCATCCCTGAACTGTTTGCATTATCTACTGCACCAAGCAAAACAAAACCCTTAGTGAGAACCTGAAAATAACACTGGCCATACTCAACCATAACAATTTCCATTGCCAAAACAGAGAAAAGTTCAAAAAGTACATAAACAATATAATTATTAGTAAGAATTAAATAGCAAAAATCACTTCAGAATCTCAGGTTTTATCTATATATGAAACATAACCAAAATATCTACTCATTACCATTTTTATCTCCAGTAGAACTCTGTGCCTGAACACTGGGACTATAAACACCTTATTCTGATGAAACTGCACTTAGTAAAACATTAAGTAGCATTAATTGAAAGTTTGATGCATTTAATTAGAAAAACTAACCATAACATTTAAAGCCAAATCATAGCTCTAGTGGCAGAGGCTTATTGAAACTTCAGGAATTTAAATGCCAGCTCCACTCAGAGTCACCAGAATGACACCCTACAATACATTAATAAATAACTCTAATTATACTCTACTTGCAATTTCTCTGGCACTTTTTTAGGAGTACAAGCCCATCACAGAATACCAGCAAAATCACACAGTGTGCCATGGATTGCCTGTTCTGGCTGATGGATTTTGGGGTGCTCAGCACCTTCTCACAGGAATTACATCTTGCAACAGCAGCACCTTAAAGAATTTCCAAGATCTTTTAAAGATGATTTTTTGTGGCTCAATCATGGAATGGATTTGAGAGGACATTCAGCTAAGCTGACATCATGTAAGAGCAGCCAGAAACTCTGTGCTATCCTCCAGGTTGTGACTGAGGATATCAGACAGCACTGGCCTCGTTATTGGTGACTGGATCTGTTCTGGATTTTGTGACACTGATCACAACCCTTGCCAAGGCCCAGTTGTGAATTTGTGTCACTGGCCATTTCCCTGGGCAGCCCTCGAGGAGGGGCAATCAGTTAGGGTGGCTGATTGTCCTCCTGGCAGCCAGGATTGCCCTTAACCCCAGTCTGAAACTCTCCCTTGTTCATCTGAGCCTGCTCTGTCTTGTCCTCCCGCATCAAGAGCCTGGGTTCAACTTCTCAGGAGCTGGAAGGGGGGGCTGAGAGCTCCCTCTCCTCCCAGGGCAGGTGCCCCAATCCCCTGGGCAGTGTTTGCTGCAGTCACTCAGTGCTCCTGCAGGGAGGGGACAGGATGCTAAAACCAAAAGTTTTCCAGGCTGATGGATGCTGAGCAGAGATGATCCCTTCCCATAAGCTGCTGTCCTTCTGCTTTTCCTGGGGCTGGCAAAATACAACTTTTCCCCATCCTCAAAGACTCTGTGACATCAATCCTCATGATCTTCCAAAGGCAGAGAACACTTTAAGGGACTTGGGATGCAGAAAAGTTGTTCCCAGAGATTTGTTTAGCTAAAATTTGTCCAACTCTTCTAAAGCTGTTCCAGCTGCAGGCTCCTTTTGAAAGGTGCAGCCTTGTCCTTCATCCTGCTCATGTTCCATATCCCACACCCTTCTCATTCCCACTCTTTGGGATGCAGTGTTGGGTCAATTCAGTTCAGTGATTGGAGATAAAACCAAATACAAAAACCTTTTTTTTTCCTTTTTTCCCCCCAGTTTATTTTTGTATCGTATCAGCAAACTGATCAGTTCAGTCAAGACCATAAGATTGAATTCTATGGAAATCACAAAAATCCACAGGAAGAACCAGAGGGTAGGGTTGGATGTAAACAACTTTTTATCATGAAATCTTTTCTTGAGTGTTTTCCTGGATCTAAACCATGGCAACCACAGAGCTGGAAACTGCTCTGCATTTTCCTGCAATGTTTAGATTCTGATACATTTAGCATATTGTATTTGGAGGGTGAACAGCTCCCACAGAGCAGGTTATGAATAAATGTTGACTATTTTCATTTTCTACTTTATTCTTCTACTAAATATTGGTCATAACACAACTTCTGAACTTCACTGTACTAATTTAGCAAAAATTAAGGGTTTAGGAATTGTTTATTTATGCTGTGACCTAATAAAAGCCTGATCTGAAATATGCTGACATGAGATGCCATAGAACTCAAATATTTTAACACATAACACGGGCAAACATCAAAAAATACATTAAATATATGGAAAGAAAACAGAAAATCTTTAAAAGGAAACTGTGTCCCTCCTTCTGATATCCCACAATAATTCAAGTAATGGATTTATAGCAGGATAAGCCTTGCTGGGAAAAAAAAAATAAAATTCTCTGTTTCACTATACTGTTGACAGATGTTTCAGAATATCTACAATCAAAAAATGCCCAAGATCTGATTTTTGGAAGTGGGGAGAATTGGCAATGCCAAGGAACAAGCTCAATTTCCTAACTAATTTAAAAAAATAAAAAATACATTAATTAAATTATTTTTGTTCTTTCCTAAAAGAAGTCAAGTCTTAATTGCTTGTAAAATGCAAGTTCACAGTTTTTTTCTCCAATTGATGGAAATTATATCAGTTTTTTCACTATGTATTTTTGTGTCATTTTTTCAGACAGCTCAGTAGTTTTCCCTTTTTTTTCTTTTTCTTTTCTTTTTTTTTTTTAATTATTTTTTTTATTTCTCCTTTTCTCATGTGAACATCCAAATGGGCAAACCACCAGAAATTGTTTTTGATCATCATTTTTTATCGAAAATGGAAATTTAGGTAAGGAAAAAAACAAACAACAACAACAACAAAAACCAAAACAATACAAACCCAAAAAACCAAAAACCAAAACAAAATAAAAAACCAACAAACAACAAAAAAAAAAAACCCAAAACAACCCACAGTGTGCCAAATAATGTGGTGGCAAAGGTTAATCTTCCTGAAATGTCATGGATTCTTGCAGCACTTTTTTCACAGCTGGTTTTGGTTTGTGAGATTTTTATTTTTTGGGGGGGGGGTTGTTTGTTTGTTTTTAATTTCTTGTATAAATAACATCAGTGACAGAGAATAAAATCTGCTTTCGACCCTTAAGAGTTTTGCAATCACCTGGGATGTAATAAAGAGAATTTTAAATTGTTATTTGATTCAAGTCAGTACTTGAGCCTGGGTTTTTTAAACCTGAAATAAATGTTTCTCCATCATGAGATTGTTTAATTACTTTAGGATGATATTGCCTGTCTTATTTTAAAACTTTTGCTAAGCATATCTGGAAGGTAACTATTCTTCTTCCAATGTCCAAAGAGGGGGAAAAAAAATCTCAAATGTTTAGAATTATCTCAATAAGCAATTTTCCTTTCTGGCAAATTCCATTACAGAAACAGATTTCTTTTATTTATTTTTTTTTAAATTTCTACTGAGATTATCAATAACTTCCTGTGCATATGGTGTTTAATTTTTAATGCAGATTGCAAAAAAAAAAGTAATTTTAGTACAGGACATCATTAAAGAACACAGTGAATTCTGTTCTGTTACAAATAAAATTCTGTAACTTGAGATAACATTCCCCTAGGCACTAAAAATAAAAATTGTCTTCTTTATGTTGGGATTTGTTAGCATTTAACCTTGCAACTCACATTTTTCTGGACTTGGATTGGGTTAAATGTTCAAGGATTTCTGCTTTCTGGGCAAAGTCTCTTATATGAGACTCAAGCAAACCAGAATTCTGTCTAAAATTAGAAGGTACAATAATTATATATAAGGAAGAGATACCCCATTTAAAATCCCTTGCCTCTTGTCATTAACACCTTAATTATTCACGAAGAATTTTTTTTTTTTAAAGCTTTCATATGGCACTCCAAGCCATATGATGAGATTATTTTAATGCTGGAATATTTGCATTGCAGTGAAATGTGGAGGTCTTTATCTGGTGCTATCTTGTCCCTTCGTGGTTACACGTTCAAAAGATTAAAAAAAAAAAAGTGTGTCCTAAAGTTTGTGCAGAGCAGACATCAAGCAGATGGTTCAGGTAAGAACTTCAAGTAAAAAACTTAAAATCAACTTCAAGCCTTACCTTGTGCACTACCATTACTTTATCATTGAGCAAATTTGTAATTTCTGCTACAAAAACCCTAAACCAAGCAGTTTCCCATGGCCAACAACATAAAATTCCAGTCTCTCAATAAAAAAACCTACCTGTAAGAGCAGCCCAGCATTTTGAGGAGGAAAATGGCAATTTTCATCTATCCCATTGCTCCACACAAAGAGGAATAACTGGGATTATTTTCTACCAGATTTTCTTCCTGAAAATAAATACCTCTGAGTATTCCAGTGAGGAATATATCCAAGCCTAGGGATGATGAAAACATCAAATTCAGCTGAAAATCTTGTTCTTCTAGTTCTGTTTAGTTTTGCTGTAGTTTTAAACACCCTGGCCTAGTTGGTCAGTTTGTGTTTTTATATGTTAGAGTAGCAGGTGTAAAATTTAAAGCACTCCACCTGAAGATTTGGTGGAAAGTGCTCTTTAAAAGATCTTACCTGGAAAAGATCACTCCCTAAGCCAAAAGGGGATGAATTCTGCAAAACCTCACCAAGTTCTAGAAATTCTAGAGCAAACATCAGGCACCCAGCTGAGCTTTTCAGATTTTAAGCATCATTGCTGCTCCAAAAAATACAAATAGTTACATATTCCCAACACCACCTTCCTTGCAGCAGCCAGGCTGCATGGCTAAAATGGAAAATAAATGTTTTTTTTCTGATTTTCCTCACAAGCAGTTTTGACTCTCAGAGGTCTTGGCATCAAACAAAGGTGTCCCAATCTACAAAACTGGGGGTGAAATGTAAAGTGAGCACATTTGATCAGGGACCTGCAGAATTCTGAAAAACCTTTAGCTTAAGCAATTCAAAATCAACCCTCTGTCACGTTCACTGAAAAAAAAAAAAACAACAAATTTCTTTGGCTAATCATTTGTTTTCATCATTCCTATTAGAAGCCAACAGTTTTCACAGCAGAGACTTACACAGGCAAACAAAATTTCCTCACTTGTCACTTGAGCAGCACAGATTTCACTCAGTTTTGACCACCAAACCTGAAACTCACATTTAATCTTCTGCTCACTGGAGAAATCAACTGTTTTCTGTGCACCTCTAACCTTCCACAGGTATTTACACCCGTGGGTAATGATGGTAAAACCATTCCAGAACACACAAGTTTGGCAATGGAAGGAACAGAAAGTGACAATTATACAAGTTGTAAAGACAGTGAACACTTAAAGAACACACCTAAAGCAATTTAAAGTGGTTTTACTACAACATCCACCACAAACTTCTATATGAAAAGCCAAATAGAAGCAAATAATTCATAAAAAGGATGATCACTTTGCAGCATTTCTTCTACCTTCCCTCAAGCTTCATGCTAATCAAAACTTTTCAGCAAGCTGATCAACAAAAGTATTGATTGCAACTTGAAATGGAGTTGCTTAGATGGGTGAGCAACTTTTGCTGTGAAGTTTTGTGTGGGTGCTGATATGGAGGAAATTTGATATTTGTCCTACGTGTGTGTAGAAATTTAAAAAATCTCTGTGTATGCCCTTGTAAAATGAAAATGCATCAAATAGAAAATGGATAGAAATATGGATATTCATGAGTTCCTACCATTATCAATTTCCTTAGTTCCACTTAGCTCTAGGAAGGGCTGGAGAAAGTCTTTCAGAAAAGAAACTTTCTCATTGTTTAATCTTCAATTAAACTTAATTTCTCTAATGCTTTAAGTTATTATGCATACCAAATACACAGAACAAATCATCTCAGTCTTCTTGACACATTCATTTTGTTTTACTAAAAGAAATTAAAAGTCCCAGGGCAGTACATTCTTTAACATGTGCAACACCCTAATTTAGTCATCCTATCTGCTGTTTAAGCAAGGGATTTGTTTATGTAGTTAAATTCAATAATGGGAACAGTGACCTGGATTCTGTTCTTCCCTTTGCAGAGGGTATAAAATAAAATAAAATAAAATAAAATAAAATAAAATAAAAGTTCTTTCAGACACTTTAGTAACTTTTGTCTGTGAGCAAGCATTAGCAGAACAGGACGAGGGGGAAATGGATTCAGATGGTTTCAAAATATTAGGAAAAATTTCTTTACTGTGAGGTTGGGGAGCCCTGGCACAGGTTACCCAGAGAAATTGGGGAAATTGGGGATGTCCCATCCCTGCAAGTGTCCAAGGCCAGGCTGGATGGGGCTCTGAGCTACCTGGGATAGTGGGAATGTCTCTGCCCACGGCAGGGGGGTGGAACTGGATGATCTTTAAGGTCCCTTCCAACCCAGACCATTCTATGATTCTGTGAAAAAAAAAAACCCTCCACAAAGCAGAGCAGATGTCTCCTCTGATCACACAGCCCTGAGCAAGGTTAAGCAGAGACTTTAGAGCCAGGTTGCATCTGCCTGTTAATTTTTAGATGTATTTTCTTACAGTCAGCATTTCCATCAGCTGTGACAACCAGACATTCAAATGAATCTCTTGTACCTCTAATACCCCCCAGCAAACTCACTGCAGCTTTATTGAATGATTTCTATGATTCACAACAGCTCCATCAGAAGAGAGCAAAAATATCAGAATAACTATACTACACTTATATATATAAATATACTATACTTATATATATAAACCAAATAAAAGAAACATGAACAGAGCAGGTATAAAATCACAACCAATCTGGATGTTAAAGCAATCCCTTATTTCAGTGGACTAAGTAACCAAACAGACATTAGAGAGCACTTGAGGAACCTCAGAATAAAAGAGGTACAGCAGACACAGGGTCTCTTTTCAGGGGTGTCTTTAAGCCCTTTCTACCTCACCTTCCACATCTGTAGTGTTTTGCTATTTCACATTTCCCCTTTTCACAGGTGTACTGCAAGTCTTAGCTGAACACCATGCACCACATTCCTCCAAATTTAAATTCAATAAAAAAACATTCTCAGGCACAAAACCCCACGGAAGGTTTTTAACAAGATTAGAGCTATAGCGGGAGTTAAATCAGAGTTTTGAAACCTGGGGCAGAGAACAGACAAGTGCAAAGCACTTCAGTTTTTTGGGGTTTTTTGATAGCAAGTTACTCCTAGAATCATTTAAAACATCACTTCCGTTTCTTCACTTTCATATTCCTGGTATAAAATGATGACAAGCCTGCAAAACAAACTTAGAGCAAAACCAGGCACACAGACACACACACAGGGTTCTCTTCTCTTCTCTTCTCTTCTCTTCTCTTCTCTTCTCTTCTCTTCTCTTCTCTTCTCTTCTCTTCTCTTCTCTTC